TAATAAGGCATAATAGACTAAAATACATGTTGTTGCAATGAAATTGTTTATTGTCATTCGATCCAATATAAATATTATTGTGTAGCAAATAATTGACATAATGCGTCACGCATATGCATACCATTCTCTAATTCTCTTGGCACATCGTCATCGACGTTAATATCAAAGTTTCCCGGGGGCAGACCATTACCGGGTTTCGAAGGAGGGGAAACCGAGGAAGGGGAAGTTGGGGTTCCGTCAATTTGCGGTCCAGCGAGGTTTGCCTCACCGCTGGCCCCCTTCTTCTTCTCGCCTCCCTCCGAGTGGCCGGATGACGCGGCGGTTGCTAGCCGGGGGACGCTGCTCGCCCCCTGTACTTGCACACACGGTCCCTTTAAATATGATTGGGACAATTTTTTCTTCCAGGTAGCACATGCAGTTTCATTCTTTAAACGTATGTAACGTTTCATAATCATATCACATATATTTGAAGAATATATACGAAACTAACTATGCTATCTGGATTAAATATAATTTTTTCAAAACGCAGAAGATATTCAGTGAGAGAACTTAGCTTCAGGGAATGATTCAGAAACAGGTTGTTTGTATTAAAACCGTGAAGTGAAGCGTACATATAATATTGGCGGTTACACTCTTAATACGAGCCGGAATGATGAACGCGGAATACATGCGGAATATAATCTCGCTTACGGGTTGTTCTGACAAGCCATTCGTTGGTTTACGTCCGACGTCATGACTCTCCTGAAAATATATTTATATATTATTCTGTCGGTGATTATATAGAACAGCGGATTCTGCGCGCTTTTCTCGCCGCCACGGAATAGGCCGTTTCACTTAAATTAGATTACGTGCGAGATCGCCTCAACGGTTTTAATTTTCCCCGCATGAACGTACGATTCGTAAGCTTTGCTGCTTTCGACTTGCAGGATTCTCGACGCACAACGACGACGTACTACGACACATGATCCTGCACGGCACGATCTGTTGACGAAGTATGGGGTGGTTCGTCAGTGTTTTGCTACTCTCCTTATGCGGTAAGTGTTAAACGCAATTCGCTTCTCTAGATAATTATGTCTGAGAACATGTAATATCAGAGTTAGTTTACTACTCTGCTTCTCACGTCGCAAGCCGTCGTCCCGAAGTCAACGCATGTCCCGAGTCATTTTCGAGCCTTCAATAGCAATTTTTGTAATCTCGATGGTCGTCAACGCGCGCGGTTTCAATATGACCTCGATAGACCGCTGCAGCGAGTCTAAATTATACTTCGTTTAAAATTAGTGATTTTCTATTCGCGGTTAGATTCGCGGCATTATTCCTTGCGCCGCGAACTGAAGTGACAATCGTCGGTTCATGTAACATTCANTGGCTGACTTGACAATCGTCGGTTCATGTAACATTCATATTACTATTACAATTAAAAGAATATTTGATGGGCTCTATTCAACCATACATGTTGAAATAAAACGGGCCTTTATGAACCAAATCGTCTTAGTGACGTTATTATTATTACTAAATTATTATAGGAGAATATATTGTTCAGCGTGTAATGACCTACGACAATTCTCGGATAAACGTGCGCGATAAATCGTACCTTCCACGCTGAATAGATTCTTACAACGGTCTATTATACAGGGTGCGGCGAAAGGTATGCCCTCATTTTGGAGAGCAATCAATAAAATACTATTAAATGTAGAGGATTGGAAGTTTTTTTATTACCTTTGGTACTTCAAACAGTTTTTTTACATTAACGTTTAAAAACGATATCTGCAAGATGGCGGCCTCCAGTAGCAATGCACTGATGTAGCCGATTTTGGAAGCTTCGGGCTGCGTTTTGGCACATCTGAATCGGAATGGCGTTCACCTCTTCGATGATTCTC